GTATGAATACTTTTGCAAACCACTGTATACATTGCATGATCATTCAGAAAATCCCTTACTTTATAAAGCAATGCAATTGATTTAGCTATTTTTGTTCTTAAATAATTCAAATGGGATTTCCATGTTAATCCCTCGTCAATAATCACACCCAAGAACTTCACCTCACTAACTCTACAAATCTCTACACCATCAACTTTAAATGGAATATTAACAGTTCTTTGTCTCCTTGTAAATAACATATAATTTGTTTTATCTGGGCATGAAAGACTAGTTTGGTAGTTAGGTTAGTTTCTTAACCACATGTTGGTAGTCATGTCAGTTTCTTCACCACATGTTAGTAGTTAGGTTTGTTTCTCCATCACAGGTTGGTAATTTAGTTAGTTTCTCCATCACAGGTTGGTAGTTTGTTTAGTTTCTCCATCACAGGTTGGTAGTTTTTTTAGTTTCTCCACCACACATTTATAGTTTGTTTTGTTTCTCCATCACAGTTTGGTAGTTTGTTTAGTTTCTCCATCACAGGTCGGTAGTTTCATTAGTTTCTCCATCACAGGTTGGTAGTTTAGTTAGTTTCTCCACCACAGTTTGGTAGTTAGGTTAGTTTCTTCACCACATGTTGGTAGTCATGTCTGTTTCTTCAGCACATGTTGGTAGTTAGGTTTGTTTCTCCATCACAGGTTGGTAATTTAGTTAGTTTCTCCATCACAGATTGTTAGTATTTCTAGTTTCTCAATCACAGGTTGGTAGTTTGTTTAGTTTCTCCACCACAGGTTTATAGTTTGTTTAGTTTCTCCATCACAGTTTGGTAGTTTGTTTAGTTTCTCCATCACAGGTTGGTAGTTTCATTAGTTTCTCCATCACAGGTTAGTAGTTTAGTTAGTTTCTCCACCACAGTTTGGTAGTTAGATTAGTTTCTCCACCACAGGTTTATAGTTTATTTTGTTTCTACATCACAGTTTGGTAGTTTGTTTAGTTTCTCCATCACAGTTTGGTAGTTTGTTTAGTTTCTCCATCACAGTTTGGTAGTTTGTTTAGTTTCTCCATCACAGATTGGTAGTTTGTGTAGTTTCTTCACCGCAGGTTGGTTTGAACTCATATGAGAAGTAAAGCTTTTTGCTCTCAGTGACTGCCTTTTGAATGAAGAACCTAAGCTGAGATCTTCTGCAGGGACATGACTGAGGTGGTCCACATTAAGGACAGAAAGGAGGTGATCCATGAGCTCAAGTTCTCTCCAGATGGCTCCTTCCTGGCAGTAGGATCCAATGATGGACTGGTCGATATCTACGCTGTTGCTCAGCGCTACAAGAAGGTTGGTGAGTGCAACCGCTCCACCTCCTTCATCACCCACCTGGACTGGTCTGTGGACAGCCGCTTTCTGCAGACCAATGATGGTTCTGGAGAGCGAATCTTCTACAGGATGCCAGGTACCAGTGCGACACATGTCTTCATTAGACTGCATGGAGCTTCTAATGTGGGACTAGAACTCGTGTCTTTTTTATCACGTTAAGACTCATACTTGTCTGAACTGGGAACTCAACCTGGGTCCCACTGGATTCTTGATTTTCAGCTGGAAAGTTGGTTCCTAAAGAGGAAGCCAAAGGGATCCACTGGATAACGTGGACAGGTGTCATTGGACCCGAGGTGAACGGGATCTGGGCCAAATACTCCAACGTCACAAACATGAATTCTGTGCACGCCAACTACAGCAGTGCTGTCCTGGTGACCGGGGATGATCTGGGTCTCATCAGGCTCTTCAGGTTTCCCTGCCTGAAAAAAGGTTTGTAAGATCCTTCTATCACCAGGAAGTTTTTAGTGAATTTAGATGAAAACTGGACCATCAGCTGAGGACACGGGTGGTAAATTTTAGTTCCTGAGTTCATAAAGATTTGACTTAAATTCTTTAAAAATTCAGTAATTCAGACTTCCAGAGTCAGAGACCTAAACTAAACTTCAGACTGGTTCCTGATACTGTTCTGTCTCCTGAACCAGGGGCCAAGTTTAAAAAGTACATTGGACACTCGGCCCATGTGACCAACGTTCGCTGGTCCAGTGACCTGCAGTGGGTCATCAGCACCGGGGGTGCCGACCATGCCATCTTCCAGTGGAGGTTCCTTCCTGAAAGTGTCATGAATGGTGTTTTGGAGCCGCTTCTTCAAGGTACTTTAGTATCTCGTCAAAACCAGAACTCTCAACCCYAGTTCTTCCTTAAAGTCTTCTTTAATGAAGGACTCATCAGTAAATCTTAGTTACTTCGGGTGTGCTCCCTCAGAGGGTTACGCTGACTCAAACAGCGGCGAGTCGGACTCGGATGTGTCGGATGTCCCAGAACTGGACTCAGACATCGAACAAGAAGCTCAGACCAATTATGAGCGCCAAGTAAGCAGGAAACACACACGGCTGTCCATTAATCACCTGTCTGTCACCTGACACACCTGTCTGTGTGGTGTACAGGTGTATAAGGAGGACCTACCTCAGCTCAAAAAGAAGCTGACTGGTTCCCTGAAGCGTCAGAAAGTGCCGGAGGAGGGCCTTCGCCTGCAGTTTGTTCATGGGTAAAACATGGTTTTAAAGTCATCAGTGAAAGAATGAAGATATTAAAACTTATATCTGTATGATTATTGGGAAAAACACACACCTGTGGAGCAGAGAGCTGCCCTCTAAAGATTCCCACCGTCATACAGTATCTGTAAACAAACAACTGTGACTTTCCTTATTTAGCTCCACTTTACAACAAAATCAATCTCAGGACCAAAACATTCACAAACTTTAGAAAACATTAATCAGTAACAGTTATCAGCAAATTCTCTTTGTCTCAGTCTCCATCCTGAGCAGAACATTGGTGACAGTGGGAAGAAACCAAAACCAGAACCAGGCTCAGGATGGGCGGCTTCTGCCTCAACCAGCTGTGTTTGAGAGGACAAGAGAGAGACACAAACACAGGTGATTTATGATAATTCTTGTGATGGACCAGCTTCCTGTTCCCTKCAGGTACAGAGGCTTCGACTGTCGGAACAACTTATTCTACAGTCAGACCGGGGAGGTGGTGTTCCACGTAGCTGCTGTCGCCATCATCTACAACCGGCTGCAGCACAGCCAGCGGTTTTATCTTGGACACGATGACGACATCCTCAGCCTCACTGTCCATCCGCTCAAAGACTACGTGGCCTCTGCACAGGTACAGTCGACCAATCACAGCACAGCGTTTTCATTTTCAGACAGACCTGAACGGTTTATCATTAGCTGTCTTTGCCTTCAGGTGGGCCGAGACCCAGCGATCCACGTCTGGGACGTCCAAACCCTGAAGTGTCTGTCACTGCTCAAAGGACACCACAGCAAAGGGGTGTGTGCTCTGGACTTTACAGGTAAGCCAAGTGGTTTATCCTTAGTTACTGTTTCCTGTCCATGGCTACGTTCACACTGCAGGCAAATCCGACCCAAATCCGATTTTTTTGACCCATC